CTATGATGAGACAGGAGCATTGTGATGAGACAGAGGAGCACTGAGATGAGACAGAGGAGCTCTGAGATGAGACAGAGGAGCACTGAGATGAGACAGGAGCATTGTGATGAGACAGTGGAGCACTGTGATGAGACAGGAGCATTGTGATGAGGCAGAGGAGCACTGTGATGATACAGAGCACTGTGATGAGACAGTGGAGCACTGTGATGTGACAGAGGAGCACTATGATGGCATAGGGGAGCACTATGATGAGACAGAGGAGCACTATGATGAGACCGGAGCATTGTGATGAGACAGAGGAGCACTGTGATGAGACAGAGGAGCACTGTGATGAGACAGAGCACTGTGATGAGACAGTGGAGCACTGTGATGTGACAGAGGAGCACTATGATGGCATAGGGGAGCACTATGATGAGACAGAGGAGCACTATGATGAGACCGGAGCATTGTGATGAGACAGAGGAGCACTGTGATGAGACAGAGGAGCACTGTGATGAGACAGAGGAGCACTATGATGGCATCTGGGAGCACCGTGAAGGCATAGGGGAGCACCATGATGGAACAATGGATCACTGTGATGACAGTGGTTCTCAACCTTCCTAATGCTGTAACCCTGTAATACAGTTCCTCATATATTTTATAACTGTAAAATTATTTTCATCGCTACTTCATAACTATAATTTTGCAGATTTTGTAAATCTGCTATGAAATGTAATGTAAATATCTGTCTAAGGCAGCTGCTATGAAAGGACTATCCAACCCCCAGGGGTTCCAATGCTCAGTGGAGTATCATGGAGCATTGTGATAGGATAATACAGCACTGTCTGGTCACAGTGGAAGTCTCAGGATACAATGCAACAGCGTGACATGATACTGGAGGACTGACGGACAACAGAGCACAGTGACCTGACACCGGAGCACAGTGACCTGACACTGGAGCACTGTGACCTGACACAGGAGCACTGTGACGTGACAACTGAGCACTGTGACCTGACACCAGAGCACTGTGACCTGACACTGGAGCACTGTGACCTGAGAACAGAGCACTGTGACGTGACACCGGAGCACCGTGACCTGACACCGGAGCACCGTGACCTGACACCAGAGCACCGTGACCTGACAACGGAGCACCGTGACCTGACACCGGAGCACTATGACCTGACAACTGAGCACTGGGACCTGACACTGGAGCACTGTGACCTGACACAGGAGCACTGTGACCTGACACTGGAACACTGTGACCTGACAATGGAGCACTGTGACCTGACAATGGAGCACTGTGACCTGACACCAGAGCACTGTGACCTGACACTGGAGCACTGTGACAGCACACCGGAGCACTATGATGATAATGGAGCACTATGACAATAATGGAGCACTGTGACCTGACAACGGCACTCTGATGTGACACCGGAGCACTCTGACGTGACAATGGAGCATTGTGATGATAACAGAAGACCATAATGGGACACTGGGCACTGACGCACGGCACCACATTATGATGAACACCAGACTGCTGTGCTGGGACAGGAAAAGCACGTGACAATACCATGGAGCACTGTCATGGGACAATGGAGCACGGTGAGAGTAATGAAGGACTATGATGGCACAATGGAGGTCTGTGATGGGAAAATGGAGACCCGTTATGGTACTCACACACACCTTACACAAACACACGGAGTCCCTGAATGTCCCCATCTTTATGTGATGCTGTGTGAAGAATTAACTCTAAACTGAGAGTGCTGGTACACACTTTAACCCAAGCACTCGGGAATGAGAGTCAGGCAGACCTCTGGGAGTTCAAGGCCAGCTTGCAGGCCAACCAGGAGTACCTCGTAAGATCATGTCTAAAAACAAAAATAAAAACAAAACAAACAAACAGAGCAGAATTAACTCCAAATACTCCACAGGCTTCACAGGTCTACCTATGTACTCTAAAGCTATAGCATTATTGGAAGAAAATGTGGTATCTTTGTAAACCTGTATTAGGCAAAAGTTTCTCAGGACTCAAAAAAAAAATCAAGAAGAGAATAAAAAGGACATATTGAAATCTTTGAAAATGATGAATTTCTGTTCTTTAAAATGGGAACTGGTCATGGTGGTGCACACCTTTAATCCCAGGACTCAGGAAGAGAGGCAGTGGATCTCTGAGTATAAGACCAGCTGGTCTGTGTAGTGAGTTATAGGACAGTTAGTGTTATGTAGAGAGAACCTGCCCCCAAAATAAACAAACAAACAAACACACAAGGTTGGGGGCAAAATTTACAGACACACACACATATAGAGATTAGAGGACCCATTCCTAAACATAAGAAATCCTTACAACCCAATATTAGTAGGAGTCCAATTTAAGTAGATACCTCACAACAGAAAATAAATAATTAAAAAGAATATGAAAATATATCCAACATAACTTGTTGGGAACAAACAATCACAACGCACTTCGCAGCCACGAGAAATGAAAGATGACAATGCCATCCGCGGACAAAGATGTAGGACAGCTGGGACTCTCATGTTAGCAGAGGTGCGAAGTGGTAAAACGTTTGGCAAAGAGTTTTGGAAGTAAAGCATGTGTTTCCCTAGTCCTATGTCTAGATCTCTGCCCTCAAAAGATAAAAGTGATGTTCAGGGCCACAGAAGTGGCTAAGAGGGTAAAAGTGCTTGTTGTGTAAGTTTGATGACTTAAATCTGATCCCTAGAATCCATGTAAAAAAGATGGGCATGGTGGCACACACTTAATCTCACCACTCCCAGGGCAGGATGGGAGGTGGAGACAGGAGCAGTAACAGGAAGTCTGCGGGCCAGCCAGGCTGGAGTTTGCAGTTCAGGTACAGAAACAAGAGACCCTGACTCAGAAAAGGTAGACGGAGAAAACTGTCCCGCCCGCGCTACAGTCTGTTCCATTAATCGGGCGAAGGCCTAGAGACTGAAGTAAAAGACAAGACAGCGGGTCGTTCGTACAGCTGGAATGCTGAATGCTGAATGCAATTTATCGAGAGGAAGGAGCAGGCTTATATACCGACTCACAGCACAGTGGAAAACAATCAAGGGTCAAGCATGCAAGTTCTCAGGCTCAGTTCTTCCCCAGCAGATGTGTGTTGGCAAACCAAGAAAAGAACCAAGAACTACTCTGGTGCAAGATGTTCCAGCCAACAGCTTCAGGCTTGCTCGAGGTGCCTTGGGGGTCCACGCAGGGCCCCACAGAGAACCGACCGACTCCTGAAAGTTGTGTGCACATCTGGCATGCATGTACTCCCCATAATAACAGTGGTATAATGAAGGGCAAATGAAAGAGATGACTATATAACCAGCGACATGGATTATCACATTGTTTTTATCTTTAATAGCATATCCTACTATTGACGAACAACCTCAAATTTGGAATACCTTACAAGTCTAATAACTACTGAAGAAATAATAAAAACCAAACTGTATTTCTACACACAGGAGGATACATAGGATGCAACAGAAGGAAAAAAAAATTACATATGTAAAACCCTGGATTAAACTAAGAGATTTACAAAATAGCATACAAAAAAAAACTAAACTAAAGACTTCATTATATGCTCTGGAAATTGTGAAAATTTACTGATTGAAAAAGCTAATGTGCAATTACCATGGCTGGGGTGAATGGACTGGAAATGTCTGGCTGCAAGAGACCTTTTGGTGTAACAGAAATCGCCTGTAGATTACACTGGTGTAACTTTATATATTTGATAAACCTTATTGACCTATGTATTTTTAAAGATTTATTTATTTGTATTTTATGTGTATGAGTGTTTGCCTGCAGTGCTCACAGAGGCCAGAAGAGGGAGTAGGATTTCTTGGAACTGGAGTTACAGATAGTTGTGAGCTACAATGCAGATGCTGGGAATTTAACCCAGATCCTACAGAACAACAGCCACTCTTCTTAGCCACTGAGTCATCTTTCTAGTTCTGAGACAGATTCACTGTGTAGCCCTGGCTGTCCTGGAACTAGCTCTGCAGACCAGGCTGGCCTTGAATCTACAGAGATCCGCCCTCCTCTTTTTTCCAAGCACTGGGATTAAAGGCATACACCACCACAGGTTGGCTTCCTATCTATACATTTCACATTACATTAGTTATAAATTAACAGTAGACAATTAAAAATAATTTTATATATTAAAAAAAAAATCTCAGAGCTGTGGGGTGGAGAGATGACTCAGTGGTTAAGATCATTTACTACTCTTGCAGAGGACCCATGGTGGGCAGCTCACAACAATCTGTAACTCTATTCCAGGGCATCGAATGTCATATGGCCTCTGGGGGCACCGGCATGCTGCATATAAACTCATGCAGACACACACACACACACACACACATTAACAAAAATTCTTGAATGTGCTCTCCCCACATAAGCCATGTACAGTGTTGTATATCTTTAATCCGGTACTCCAGAGGCAGAAGTCTCTGTGAGTTCAACACCAGTTTGGTCTACGTAGTGAGTGTTTCAGGCCAGTCAGGGCAACATAATAAGACTCTGTCTCAAAACCAATCAACCAAACCAAACAAAACAAAAAACCCTAACAAGAGGAATCACACTTAGTATTTACAAATACTACACTTGTCAAAACAACACACAATAAATTTACCTGATAATCACACGGATTCAAAAACTCCCAACACCATCTAAATTTTATGTGAGTGTATCTAACTCTTTAAACTCCAGAATACGAATAGAAGATGATTGGCTCAACTTTTGAAAAGATTATTTGCAGGAATCATGTATAGAAACCATGCCAAAAGCTAATAAAGAGGACCATCTATATATTCCTTAAATAACAAGATGTATCTAGGAAACTACAAAAAGTAGAGTGTCTCTTACTGCTGTCTGTTTTCAATACAGTTTTGGTTTTCCATAATAATTCAAAACTGGCAGAGACATGTTGTAGTGTATAAGTAACCTACTGGGTTGACTAAAACAAAACACACTGAAAACTTGTTAAGAAGACAAATACATAATGGCCCAACCAGAGTACCTTGGCAATCGCAGTCTGTTTGAACATGCTCGTTATCAATCCCATAACCGTCTCTGTGGCACCTGAATTTGGAGCTCTCATTAATTTTTGCCATTCTTCAAAGCTGGCATTTAGTTCCTGTGTGGGAAGGAATAACATCGTTTAAGAATACAGCACCAAGAATAGAGCAATTAATTGAATCATTCATCAGGTCCTACTTCCCTCTTCCCTGTATAGAAAGTTATAAAGGGAAAGTTCCCACAGATACCAATGTGTTCATTTAAGACCACAATGCAGAGACCAGTCACATGTCCATGTTAATGAGGGTTGACAGTGACAAGCTATGACACCATAATTCAAGTGATTGAAACTTCCTCTTGATAAGCAGTGTGTGAAGTCAAAAAGATCTGAACATATAAGAAAACAGCGTGTGAAATTTATTTTTGTAGTAAGATGTATTATTTAAACAAGCATAAGGATGAAAGAAATATTAGTTATGTAAAATATAACATGATCATAAATTGATTCACTTCATAATACTCTGTAATGCTAAAATAGCAGATAAATTTGCATTTGAGAAATACCACAGTATTCAATGTATCCTAGACACTTATTTAACTTCTAAAATGTAACAATGAGAAACTTCTTGTTCACTCAGTCACATCCAGGGCCTGTACAGGTGCTGTGCTCCCCAAAAGTAAATCTAGATGAGGATCAGGGAAAAATAAACATTTGGCTTTCAGATATGTTAATACCCTACAACATTATCACAGTGTTTCAGATTTCAAGAACAGAGCTACATTCAAGTTATTCTACAGTAAAGTTTAAACTTTTTTAAAAAAATCTTCACGTGCATGATGCGTGTGTCTTTGTGTGTACATGCATGCATGCATTCATGCAATCTATGGCATATGTTTGTGTGTGTGGGGGTCAGAGACAACTAGTGTCAACCAGTGTGTGGGTCTCACTCCCCCCTCATTTGAGACAGAGTCTCCTACTATTCACTGCTATGGCCTGAAAGCTTCTGGGGACCCTGATGTCTCAGCTCCCATCTCATTCCAGTAGCACTGGAATTACAGAGGCAACTATTATGGTACCAGTTTTACTTAGGTTCTGAGACGCCCAAGTCAAGTCCTCACAGTTGCATGGCAAGCATTTCAACTATGGAGCCCCAGCCCCAGATTTGTGAGAGTGTGTGTGTGTGTGTGTGTGTGTGTGTGTGTGTGTGTGTGTGTGTCCACAGAACATGAAACAGGGTACCTCTTACTAATTAATTACTGGGACTTATAGACATCATAAATACTTAATACTAAATAGTTTTCAAATCACAGTGCTTTTTGCTATATTCAGTGGAAAATTTTTGAATCACGAGGTGCTGACAGTGTGCTGCCCAAATTGGACAAGCAGGACACAAAAGAAAGTGACTGCCGAACTCTGGAAAGACAGGGTGGGACAGTCCTGCTTCACAGGCAAGTCTGTCAGAGATGCTAGGCTTGTAGGCCAGAGACAGATGCACAGCGCTGCAGAGAAACTTTGGGTGACTGTCCAGACAGCCTGATGTCCCTGTCATTGGGTAACATTTCATCCTCCTGAAGCCTTTGATAGAGTTGAAGACTAAATAGTTAAACTTATAGTATTCTTTATGATAGAAAGCAAATTAGGTATAAAATTTTGGACTCACGTAGATAGGATAGATAATGGAGTATTCTCTCTGATTTTGCCAAATGCAAACTAGATATTAGGACTATGATTCTTACTTGATAACTATTTTTGTTGTATATAATTTTACTGTTAACATTAAAACTTTCCTTTTTAATCAAACATGGAGAAATGCTGTAATTCTTTTGTCTGTAAATATGTATTGCTCTAATTGTTAATAAAAAGCTGATTGGCTGATAGATGGACAGGCAGAGACAGCTCAAGACAGAATGCTGGGATGAGGAAGGATGTAGTCAGAATAGAGTCTCAAGATGCAGAGAAACAAGATGGGCATGTTGTACTGAGTAAAGGTACCAAGCATATGTAAGAAATATGGGCTAATTTAAGTGTAAGAGTTAGATACTAACAATCCGGAGCTATTGGCCAAGCATTTGTAACTAATATTAAGACTCTGAGTCAGTTATTTGGGAACTGGTGGTCAGGACAGGAGAACTCTGTCTACAACTAAGAGCAGTATCTGTTACATATTTGATAATTAAAATTAAAACCTTCTTGTGCTTTTCCTGAAATGATATGAAACCAACTCTACCAATCAAACCTGTTTTAAGAAAGCATGCTTTTCTGTGAAGTATGATATACAATCTTTAAGAGCATCATTCATAACGCTGAAAGTAAGACTCTCAAGTAAATAGAGGCTCTCACCTTGACAGCTGCTGGTGGAAGGTCAAATGGAATACGCTGTCTGACTTTAGGCGGCAGCTGGCTTAAAACTTCACTCTTTAATCTTCTGATCATTATATTGCTTAGTAGCTGATGAAGTTCACCAAGGTTTGATGCCCCTCTATAATCCCACTGACGCCTTTTACCAAAGTATCTGTTAAGATGAAAAGATAAACAGCAAAGCTGAATGCTAGAGCAGGAAATCCATGCATGTCCTTCCTTTTAATAGTAAGGGGCAATGTGCTGGTTCCTGCTAATTCCGAATGAAAACCAGTTTGAAAAGCTAATCTAAGGGGCCGAAGAGATGGTTCCATGGTTAAGACGGCATGCTGCTCTTGCAGTGGGCCTAAGTTCAGGCTCTAGCACTCATAACAGGTGGCTCACATCTGTAACCCAAGCTCCAAGCGATCTGATGGCCTTTGAGGGCATCTCTCTGTTTCTCTCTCTCTCTCTCACCCCACACCCACATACACTTTAAAAATAAATCTTATCTCCTTAGCATATAATTCTCACAACTGTAATTCTAGGACTCAAAGGACTAAGTCAGGGAGATCACTATGAATGTATACTAGCCAGGAATTCCACCAACTGAGCTTATTCTCAATCTTCTGATATATTTTCATGCCACTGAAATATGTTACTTGTTTTTCCTTTTTTTTTTTTTTTTTTTTTTTTTTCTTTTGGTTTTTCGAGACAGGGTTTCTCTGTGTAACAGTCCTGGAACTCACTCTGTAGGCCAGGCTGGCTTGGAACTCACAGAGATCTGCCTGCCTCTGCCTCCCGAGTGCTGGGATTAAAGGCATGTACCGCCACCACCACCCAGCATATTGCTTCCTTTAATGTTTATATATTCGAACTTAAAGATTTGTGTACATATTAAACTGGGAAAAGGCTGGGCAGTGGCAGTGCATGCTTTTTACAGGAAGCAGAGACAAGAGGATCTCTGAGTTCCAGGCCATCCTGGTCTGCAGGGCAAGTTCCAGGACAGCTAGGGCTACACACACACAAAAACAAACAAACAAACAAACAAACAAACCCTGTCTTGAAAAAAACAAAATGAAGCAAAACACTGGAAAAATGCTGGTCAATACCTGATTCTGTCATGTCTTTTTCCATTCACCATACTAAGTACTTTTGACCACATCATTAACAAAAGAAACCTAACTACCAACACAGAAAGAAGAGGTTGGAAGGGCTCTTTAATTTTGTTTGTAGAATGAAATGTCTGAATTAAAATGGATTCTTAAAGCACACTATCGAAGGCTCATGGGATAAGACTGTACACAGACAGGCACAGATCACCATACAGGTCTTACCAGCCGCCTGCAGAGATCAATGTCTGTATTTCAAAGTGCAGATGTCTGAGCATTTTCTCCTTTCTTTCTTTCTTTCTTTCTTTCTTTCTTTCTTTCTTTCTTTCTTTCTTGTTTTTGGTCATACTATAGACAAAGTGTGATGGGTAAAAACAGCAGTATGCAGCAGTGCACAGAGAAAAAAGGTGTGGCCAAGGTGTCTGCACTAATCTCTGTAGACCTTCATGCAAATGAAGGACTGTCCTTAAGGCAATCATGGTGAAGTCCCTCGTGCAAATGAAAAGCCACACTTAATAACACCAATCACAAAAACTCTTCATGCAAATGAAGAGTTGTACCATTCCCAGGCATTCTGCTGGGTCAGCAGGGGACCATATAGGCAGTTTGTTGCAGCCACTCTTGCCTGCCTCCCCCAAATCCAGTCCTTTGCTCTCCCTTCTTCCCCCCTTCCTGTCTCCTTCTGTCCTTCCTTCCTTCCCCCCTCTTCCCTCTTCCTTCTTCCTTCCTTCCTCATGATTTTTCTTTTCTTTTTTACTTTTTAAAGGCAGGGTCTCATGTAGCCCAGGGAAACCTCAAGATTAGTATGTATGTACCCAAGGATGATCTGTCAAGTGCTGAGATCCCAGGAGTACCCTATTAAGCCTAGCTTCAGAAACTATTATACACTGAATTTTCCTAGAGATTGTAAATAATGCTAACTAGCCTACATTGTTTTGTTGGAAACTCAACTCAGAATACTTTGCCAATGTGGAAAACCATGCTGCTGACCCCCAAACACTCTGTTGGCTAAGCTGTAATCCATATAACTGTGATTTATTAAGTACCTTTTGAAGATATCAGTGGGGTACTGGCTAACTGTACAACTGTGGTGTATCTGCTACCATAGGAACACAGCTGTGGTGTACTGGCTAACATCTGAACACAGCGTACTAGACTAGCTTCCATATGAACAGCAGTATCTACAATTTTAAACATACTGAATTTTCATCAGTTTTACGACTTACATTTCTCTAACTTTATATGCCTAGAATTTACAAGTATGCAAGTCAGTTTAACTTCAGAAATTACCCTGTGGTGACATGTAAAATAACAGTGAATATATCACAATTGATGAAGTTCCAGGTTTTGCATAAAAATAAATATAAACTTAATTTTTACATTCATTTCAAATTGTGTTCTAATGCAGTCTTTACCTACTTACATATTAGAGTACAAGTTTACCATTATCTTATTTTCTCCCTGCACCACGCTGGGTTCTTTCTTTATTTGAAATTACATGTGGCCATATACGGTTATGCCTGTGGATTTCCCTCCAGTGTTCGAAGGGGGTACTGAGTATTCATTATGACAGTGGGCAGTTGGGCAGTGGGAGCTGAGAAAGGCTGCTGTTCAACAATGACCACTCTCTTCACTTACGTTCTGTGCAGTACACGCACACAAGATGCATGAAGGCCGACAGGAGACAATCCGAGGAGGTCTGCATGTGCTGACAAAATGAACTGCTAATTAATATCCTTCTAAAACAGAGACCAGCAGGTCCAGGTGGACTCACTCTTGAGTTCTACCAAACATTTCAGGAAGAAATTATACGAGCTGTCTAGGAAGATTGCTCAGTAAGCAAATTGCTTGCCAGATATGCGTGAGGACTGGGGTTTGATCCCCAGAGCCCACTGTTCCAATTCAACATACACAAGAATGCGTATTTTTAGAGTTCTCACATGAGCCAAAATCTACAACCCAGGTAACTTCCACTGCTGGTGTAGTTTTTGTCTTAGTGACGGAAAGTCAAAAGCCTAGTTCCTTTAAAATGTGACCGATCTTTAAATACTTAAGGACTGGTCCCCCTAAGGTTTCCTTTTCTCAAATTCCAACAGCTTCCTAAGGTTGAGCACTGTCTCTCTTGTCTTTGGATCACTTGCAGCTCTGAAATACTGTCTTAAATATAGAAGGCAGTCAATAATGAGGCATCGGTGGAGCGGAATGTGAAACCCTCTCATTATTCTGGTCACCCGTTCCCAGACACATGTTAACTTGAAGAGGCGTCAACTCTGGACAAGAACTACAGCCACTAAGGATGCTGAGAGCGGGAGGGATAGTTTCCCAGGGAAGAGTTATCCAAAATGAACCGTCAGCCTGTATCCTTGTCTTTATGAGCTTCTAAAAGTACCCTCCCAACCTCCCATTTTCAAAGCTATAATGGCATCCAGAAACTGGCTCTCTCTGGAAAATGAAACCCTGGTGCTCTTGGAGGTTGACATGGCTCAGGACTGAAGAGCATTCTGCTCTTGCAGATGACTAGAGTTTGATTCCCAGCACCCATGTCAGATGGCTTTCCGCCACCTGTAATTGCCCTAAGTACAGTTCCAGGGAAATCTGTAGTCTCTGGTCTCCAAGGGCACGGGTACTCAAGTGCACAATCCCCTTTCCCCCCACATACACATAATTTAAAACAAAATAAAACTATATATATATACACATATATATAATATATATATAATATATATATATTTATATATTATATGGCTTCCTTCCTTTCTACTCCAACCAAGCAACTGCCTTCTCATCTACTTGACAAAATGCTTCTGGGCTCTGCAGAACAGCACCTCAGGCATGCTGTAAAAGATGTTCTGCTCCTAAAAATAGTGAGACAAGGACAGAGAGGTGAAGATTTTGCTAACTGTTGCAAGGATGCCAAAATCCCTATTTTAGAAAAATGCCGGAAAGAAAATTCTGCATTGAAAGGGAGGAGTGATGAGCAAAGGGGTCAGGACCAGGCTGGAGAAACCCACAGAAATGCTGACCTGAACAAGGGGGGGAGCTCATGGACCCCAGTTTGATAGCTGGGAAACCAGCATAGGATCAATGCAGATCCCCTGGACGTGGGTGTCAGTTAAGGAGGACTGGGCAGTCTATGGGGCCTCTGGTAGTGGATCAGTATTTATCCCTAGTATAGGAAGGACTTTGGGAGCCCATTCCACATAGAGGGACACTCTCTCAGGCTAGACATATGGGGGAGGGCCTAGGCCCTGCTCCAAATGATATGACAGACTTTGAAGATCCCCCCCATGGAAGGCCTCCCCTCCCTGGGGAGCAGAAAGGGGATGGGATGGGGTGTCCATAGGGGGCAGGGGACGAGGGGAGGGAGAGGGAACTGGGATTGACATGTAAAACAAGCTTGTTTCTAATTTAAATTAAAAAAATCATTAAAAAAGAAAATTCTGCATTGAATAAATGTCAAATACTGACTATCATGATTCAGCCTTTTATGAAGAATACAAACTGGAATAGCTCAAGGAATGGAAGAATTCAGAAAAACAGGAATTCCTACTGAGAACAGGTTACAGAAGCTTCCAACAAACATGTATGCAAATATTTAAGTGAGTGAGAAATTTTCATATTTCGGGAAACCATTTATAATGTCAACCACAAGTAGCAGGCAGAAACAATGTTTACTTTATCCTCATCATAAAAATGCTGATATTTTATGAAATAAAAATCTTGATTGCAGGGTTCTAGTTTATTGACTCCAGGCTAGGAGGAAAAAGTGAACTAATAATAATTTTCCGGTCTCACTCACTCACCTAGAGCACCCACCTACCACCCTGCACTGTGACCTCCTCACTGTGCTGTGCACTGTCCATATTGTGGTACTTTCCTGTCCCCACACCTTCCTTGGCCATGCTGACTTCTCAGTCTTCCTGGGATAACTGATCCTCCTTGCCATTCAGCCCCTACATCTATCGTGTTGATACAAAACTCCCAATATTAGACAGATCTGACTCTAGGTGTATTTCAGGCCTAACCACATCGCTGTGGAAAACCACCATTGAGAAGACTGGCA